CGTAGGACATCGCAATTTTAAAAATACCAGTCGCTAACATTGAAAAAGGATAGAACGTGAACTAGTTGGGCTGAAACGCAAACTGGTAGAATTCTAGTTCACAACTAGTAGCTTTCCCTGCAGGGCTTCTTCAGATCAGAAAAAGCAGAGAAAAAACACTGGACTAGTCGCATTTATTACGTGCCACAGGCAGAAACACAACAACAATGTTAATAACTATTTCTTGACAAGCCCCATTTCTTCTCTGATGATGGCGCAGATAAAAAAGATCATGCAGCGTGACCACATGTTGTCGGAAGAAGAAAAGCGTATGTAATGTCTCCAAGCAACCAACGGAATGACCATTCACCTCATCGGGCTTCATCAGAAACAGAGTAACGCAGTGATTATGATTTCATCGTTGATCTGCGTTCGTTGAGAATTATCGCGGCGATCAACGCAGTAGTTGTTGTTGCATTTCAGCAGTGCGTGTGAGTTTTAATGACTGGGGCACGCAGATGTGAGACATCAACGCAGATTTGAATGCATTGTTTTTATGTAAGTCCGAGCCTGGGAAGGAAAGGCTTGACAGCAAGCAGCTAGTGGTGGCTGATGAGGATGAAACTATACTCTTTCATCCATGGCCTTAAAGTCATTTGAAATAAATCCGCCACATATATTTATGCCGCTAGATTATGCACTTAACAAAACATTTGAAGATAAACAAGAAAGTATTGCCTAAGTAAGCATTTATTTGTATGTATTATTTGCATGAATTTCATAACAAAAAAAAAATCAGAAATGCACCTTAATGACTGTTATTATGTGAACAATTTCAAGGTAAATTACTTTATTACTCTCGGCTAATAAGCCATGCCATTTTTTTATTTTTTATTTTTGCTTTTTTGTCGAACAAAATGGTTGCCGCTTATGCCCTTCTTCAATCGCTTAATTTTCGCCGTAACGCCATCAAAAGCATAGCAATAAACTAAGTGGAGGTAACCACAAACACAAACGCACACAAATTTCGAACATACCGCCACGAATTTCACTGTTGCATACTTGGACTGAATGTTGGCTGTAATGCAATTTGTGCTCATCAACTGTCATCGCAGAGCCCATAATTGCTTAGGCACGGCGACTTAAGATAAATATTTTGATGCTGCGGCGGCGCTCCAACTCACAGGTTAAACAGGTTCAAGCGACATGAGAAAGATGCAGAGCATTAAGAAAAAATGCGGCAAGAAAATTATGAATGCTCCATTGCAACAAAACTACAAACAACAAATGCAATGCAAAATCTAGGCGTTTTACCAGTACTGAAAGAACGAAAAAAAGGAGAAGAATTGTGAAGTTTTTTCTTTTAAATTTATTGTTGAGAATTTCATCGCTTACAAGGCTGAAGTTTCTTATTTTTGTAGTGTCAATTTCACGGCTTAACTGGTCATGGCACGAGAGAGAGAGGGGCAACAATGCTCTGCAAACAGGTCACACATTCGTGTGAAGTTGTAGGCGTACCATGGCGCAGAGCGAAGTGCAAAGAACTTTAAAGGTGTGCTTCTTCTTAGCTTTAAATCAGTCTGAAATTCTAGCCAAAATTTCAAAAAAAAATGGCTTTTAAAACACGCTTGCATATTCTGTTTTTCTAGGGTTTAAATCTTTAATTTTTGCGAATTATTGAATGCATTCATTGGAGTATTATTTAGATTTAGTGAGCAAATGCATATTTGTACAGGTAGATGGGTAGGTGGAATGCAAATGTGCAACGGAGATGTCGATCTAATCTATTTTACGCAATTTAGTGGCTCATAAAGCCTCATTAACAAATGGACAACATAGCAAACATCTACAAGCCGACAAACCGACAAAGCCAGGGCAACAATAAATAGCAATGCAACTGCCCAGTTAACGCTTGCAGGCATATTTGCATACAACCCGGTTTGAGAAGATTCCTTGTAGGAAAAAAATGATCTGGTGAGACACAGTTTAGCCATCACTAAAAGCCCTGTTAGTCTAGGATTAACTTGATTTCACTTACCGTAAAAAAAAAATCTTCAATAACTACTAAAGACGTCAACTTAAGCCAGAAGCGAAAATATTTTGTTTTTGTATTCTCTTATTCAGCTATTTTGGACAGTTCGTCGCCTATAGGCACTTATTTTTAAGATTCTCCCATCGCTAATTAAATTAAGCTACGTAAATCACATGCATCGGTCTTCGTGTAGGAAGTTTGGGTGTAAAAACTCTCAACAAGACGGATTCCAAGGGTCAAACATTGCAATATTCCTTTTATTGCAAACGAAATATTTCAACATAACGAAGTTTTCTACAAGGTAGTTTCCACATACAGTCATGGCGGCGATCTGTCACACAATCTGCCAGATGGCAGTCTGGCAGTTACTTATGTATAATCAAAATACAACAACATGTTAATATGTGCAACGAATTAAGGATAGTAATTGTCAGTACAAGCACACACATGACAACAAAAGTCCAATCCCAACGAATAAATAATAGGGTGTGGGTGTGGGTGCGAGTGTGAGCAGAAAACGGCAGTTGTATGGATTGCATAACCTCAGAGCGACAGCAAAAGGTGGGTGGCACATTTTCACTCACAAACCTACATACATATATATGTATATATATGCAGATATACGCATATTAAAATGCTACCGGCGCTTTGGTCTCCGATCATCTCCAACCAGTCACACTCACTCCAAACTGGCGCGCGCCGATGGTATTTCGGTTAAGTGCAAAACCCGCATTAGTAACCGCAAATGTTGGACAAAGCAAATTTATATGCGGTTGCGTAACCATTGCCCAAGATACATATGTATGTGTATGATTAACCCATCTTCGCGCCGGGTGGCCTTTTCTCCCAACTACACTTGCTAGTTACCAGCTATCGTTTGGTTCCTACGCCACCCACTCACGGTCAGCGGTGTTATTGTCACCACCGTTATTATCATTAGGTAAGACCATTTAGTGATGAGTGTTGTTGCTCGCATTGTTGCTTGAGTGTGAATTGAAAAGTCAAGTCAATCAATAGTTCGACATAAAATGTGATTTGCTGGCGGGAGCGTGGCAGCGACAGCGGCAGCGGCAGCACCCAGCAAGCTCAAAGATAAGCAAATTGCATAATAATAATTTAACAGCAATTAAGTACGTTGCATTCGTCACGCCGCGCCCTGCCATCGCTTGATTGCGTAATACATACTTGTAGTATTCAGATACGCTTTGTAAATAAGTATTCACACAGGAAGCGGCAGTCGCAGTAGCTGTAATGTAAGTTGAAGTACCGAAAGTCATAATTAAATTGCCTTAAAATTTAAATTAATAATGGTCTGCAAGTGCATAATAAATTCAAAGTGAGTAGTCACCTAATTAAATTAGCGAATATATGCATGTACATATGTGTGTGTGTATGTTCACATGTATAACTTGTCTATGGGGCATTCCAGCACAATTCGAACACCCGAATTTTTTCATAAATTTGTATGTTAACAATTGAGAGGCTTCCCTGATTTTTTTGTTTTAATTTTTTTTTGTCCAGCCGTTTTCGAGATATGTATCGCTTTTTGAAAACCACATGTTCCGTTTTTAAGTGCCTATAACATTGCGAAAAATAGGCCGATTGGGACCATTTTTTAATGAAATTTTTCATTTCCAAAACAACTTTGGAAAATAAAATCTAAATAATTTTCAAAACCAGATTTCTATAACATTTTCCAATTTTGTACACAAAATTTTGATTTCCAAAAAATGTACTGATCTATTTTCTTGAAATTTTTTTCTGAAAAACTGGGCCTCATTTCGCAGTTCCACTGGAATCTATTTTTTCGGACTTTTAATTTAATCAAAAATTTCCGATCCACATAAATATAATAGTTTTTGAGATATTCAAAAATTAACTTGCAAAATACCGAAAACTGTGAATTTAGAATTTTGCATAGCTTCGTTATTTTATAATATTTTATAATAGAAATTTTTCTGACCAACATACATCCAACTCAAAATTTGTCGATTCCAGCTATTAGTCGATTTGACATGGATTGACCCCTGTATATATATGTCCTTTATACGGCGTTGATTAGGTACGTAGATGAGTATTAAATTTATTAAAATATTTTAAAAAGTAACCTTTGTTAAAAGACTTAAGACCATCTTGTATTTGTACTCATAAAAAATATTGAAGAGAATGATCGATGTTGCCTAAAGTGTCACTTAGAAGTACTTGATTTTATTTAATAAAAAGTACTCAGAGTGGAATTTATTCGAAATAAAAAAATACTGATTTGGATTTTAGAACTTTGACGAAATCACTGGAGCGCCTTTTATTAGTTAACCGAAAAAAGGAGTTTTAAAATTAAATTTAGCTGCATTCGTTGTCAAAGAGACCAAATATCCACAGAAGTACGAGAACGCAAAATTTTCAAAAACTTTCAACGTTCGAAACAGCTGATCATTTCCACAATTGCCACAAGTAGTTCATTTCGCAATTTAATTTCTGTTTGGTACATTGTCCCCGATTTTATCTTTTTTACAATTGAATACTTTTGGATTTGAAAAAACATTTTAACATATAAATGTATTATCTCAGAATGAATAAGTTACCCATTAGAAAATAAGAGAATCTCCTCCAAACAGCCAATTCGTCTTCTGAAAAAATTAAGTATACATATATGCATATGCACCTACAAATGTACCTTTGAAATTATTCAATCATTCAAAACTGACAAATATGGCCAAAAACACTTCAGCTTGCTGCATTTTGATCTACTATTTTAGCGAAAAATTTTATACGGCAACGATAGTTGACACACACTAAAATAAGAAGAAATAAGAAGCACATGTCTGAGATCACCTTATTTTCTTACTTGTAAAGTTTTCCCAAGTAAAAAATTTTCAAGCAGAAAATTGCACTTCTCAACCTCTTCCTCTGAAATTTTTCACGTCACCGTCAACTTATACAATGCGTCTTAAAAAATAATTCCAATGAAATTCAATTTTAACGACGCCAATTTTTATTTTTCTTTTAATCTCAGCACAAAACTTTAATTATTTTTAAACTTTAAATTTAATTTTTTATTTACTTTTCATCTCTTGGAATGCTATCTGCGTATTTCTCTGCCAACGTTCTCTCAACCCAGGGTATCAACTCGGCGACGCGTGTATACACACCCGGCTTATTTGGTTGCGCACAACCCAAACCCCACGAAACAATGCCCACCAGTTTTTCGTCCACGACCAGCGGCCCACCGGAATCCATTTGGCATGCGTCGATGCCACCCTTCGCATAGCCGGCGCAGATCATTCGATCCGTTAAGTATTCGTTCAATTGGCGATTACACACAGCTTGATTAACAATCGGAACACGAGCGTATCGCAACAAGTATGAACCGCTGCCTTGAGGCGTTGTAAATCCCCAACCGGCGACCAGAGCTACATCTCCATCCAGCACCAACTCACCTTCTGTGGGCAAAGCAATCGGTTGGATCTTTGAGCTAAAAGTCAGTCCACTAGCCAAACGCACCAAACCGATGTCATAGTCCATGGTGGCCATATTGAAACGCGGATCATAATGTACAGCGGAGGCGTCGACCAACACACCCTCATGGGAGGATCGTGATTTTGTGCCCGCATGAACGCGCACATAACTAGCACTGATGCCTTTTAGGCAATGGGCGGCGGTGATGACGGTGCGTTCATTGATGATCGAGCCGCCGCAGAAGTGTTTGTTGAACAGTCTCACCGATACGATATACGGAAAGTCGACAATGTCACGCGCTGAAGTGCCACCCACGATGCGGCCCAGAAGCAGGCTTGAGAAGGCGCCGGCGGCCTGAGTCCATGACAATGCGCAAAGGGCTATTGTAAGTACAAATCGGTAGTGTAAGTGAAACATGGCAGACACGTAAGAGAAACAGCAACTAGGCAATTTTGTAGCTCACTAAAGATAGCGCGTTCTTCAAAACTAGGCAATTAGGATTGACTAGCGGAAACCTTATGAACGTGTGGCCGTCATGGATATTTTCTTGCTCAATTTGTACGAACTTGACACTCAATGAAGCGATACATTGGTTACTGCTCTGACTGATAAGCGACTTCGAACGCAGTTGACGTTTGCGAACATCAATTTGTAATTAGGCAAATTTGCTTTACCGTCTCATTTGGAGATAAGTTTGTTTTTTTTACAGAAACTGTAAATATTGTGTTCTAAGTATTTAATTGCCGGCCGTTGTGCTGAGTTGTAGTTAGAAGTGCGCACTACCGTTCCATAGGAACTGGGTTCGTACCCTGGTAAGAGCGTAAATCAAAAAAGAAACTGCGGTCATCCTTCGGTGGGCAATGGCAAACCTCCGAGAATATTTTCGCCTTGAAAAATCTTCTCATATAAATCCAGCTTATTTTTTTTAACTCTCTTTTAAATGAGAGCCCTACCTAATTTTAATAGTTTTATTTCATTTTTGGCTTTCATATCTCATTAACTGTAAGCGATATCAAAATGCAAAAAAAATTAAAAGTAAATACCCGTTCTAACCGCTTATTTCTGAATATATAAATTAAAAACCGGGTTTTTTCGGTTTTCTTTTTTCAAAACATCTAAAACCGGTTTTGGAAACATCGAATAATCGAACACCCTGATGAATACAATTTCAGGTAAGCACCTTCCATTATTAATTGATTTTTAACAAAGGTTATAATATAAAAAAATACCTATTCATGAAAATTTTGACATTTCGGTAAATCACTCGAAGCTTTAGATCTTTTCGAGGCTATTCCAATTATTTAAATAGCAAACATACTATGAACTATGATGTACATATATATATGAATAATTTACTTTTCTGCCTAATTTTTCCACTTCGCATTGCTAATGAGTTGAAAGGCTAATTTTTAACGCATTTAATTAATTTATAAAAAAAAATGTATGGGAATACTTAAATAGGTACACAAGGCAATGATTTACATTTTAACGCTTTAATAAGCACACAAATCCAAGTACATTTCAGCAAAAACCACATTTACATTAAGACACAAAAATATTTGTACAAAAAAAAAAATATGTTGTGGTCGGATAATGTTGGCGGAAAAAGTGCAATCGAAAACGCTCGAACCGTAATTTGCAAAATACTGATATTCATAAAATATTAATTGACCCAAAGCAACCACTTAACGAGCATATGGCCACAACTACTAGCATGCATATGCAAATGAGGCAACAACCCAGCAGGAAAAATGTGATCAATTATTAACAAACTCCATACGTAAGGATAGTTTTGTATTGTAATTTCTCCAAAGATATTTAAAAAAGAAAAAGAAAAAATTGTTAATTGTGTAGATGATTTGCACTAAAGATGGGCCAATTGTAATGCAAGCACGCGAAACTGTAATTGGTTGCCATTATTTTATTTATTTATTATGTATGTACTCTAAGCCAAGCTCGATATCCTACAGGGGTATGTATATATATATAATCATCTCTTGCATCATCAATATATGTACATATATACAATAAAAATAAGCCTTTGTCTGCATTTCCATGCATTGGTGCGCTGGGATTCGAATTAATGTTGATTAAAATGTGCATCTAATGGGAAAACAATAGACAAAGCTAAAATAATGCTAATATATGTACATTCGAATCATTCCAACCAAAAACATAAATAAATCCACTTAATTCAGGTCAGCGAGTGAAGGACGATTTTCAAATCATGGAATTTCGTATGAGGAATAAGCAACTTTCTGTGGTGAGGCACCATAATGTACATCGAAATGTATCGCACACCTAGATCAAAAGTGTGATCAACTAAAAAAAAAAAATATGGCGATTTTTTACATAAATCAATTCATAGGACTTAAATCCAATTAATGCAAATATTTTTTTCTTCGTGATTATATACATTAACTAAGAAACTACTGTTATACCTGTTTTTGTATTAATTGCGTTGAATCTGTACGATCCACAAGCAGTTACATATATTTCCCTCTCTGAATTTTGAGTTAGCTCACTTTAGATCTAGCAGGTGTGCGATATGTAAATGTGGATATTATTTATCTATTAAGAAATACACACATATGTATGTATATACATTAGGGTGGACCAGTATTTTTGTTTTTTTAGGCACTCCCAGTATGAAGAATAACGAAAATAATAATAAATTTTATCGGTTAATATTAGCCAGGACTTTGCAGTTTTCCGTATATTTTGCATAGGGAAAATATATTTTATCGAAGAAATGCTATAAAATCGTTAAAAATTAATTTTTTATCTAAAGGAATATTTACCTTCAGAAATCATTCTCTATTGTTGTTGTATATGGATGCATATTTAGTTTTAAATTTTACTAACTACTTTTTTATAACCGATTTTTGCTATATACAAAAATTAGTTAAAAAGAATAGTTAGTAAAATTTTAGACCCAAAGTTGCAGTATAATTCTATTGTTGGAAACAGTGCCGGATTTAAGAAAAAAGGCCCAGTAAGCAATCTGTCCAAGGGCCCACTGTTTTTATATGTACATACATATAATAAACGGCCAAATATTTTCGGTATATTAAAAAATTTTTATTGAATGCAGAACTGTGCAACTTTGAAGCTGCGTCTTGCTTTTTGTTCAACAAATATTTCCATTGCGGAATCCAAACTCATTGAATTTGCCACTAATCTTTCAATATAAAGGATAGAGGAATTATTGAGTGTATTTTCAGCTACAGAAGCACGGCGATTCTTTAACGATCCCACGTGATTCACGTCCCACATGGCTCGCGTTGATCTCAGCGTGGTCCCGTAGGCGGTATCTTTTTTCTCTGCAGCCTCTTGACAGTCCTCATCGTGCGAAATCCGACTACTTCTTTGGTGTCGGTACCTAATGAGCGGGAAATGTAATTCCACTGCTCGCATATGTCAGTTTATTAAAGAGTGCTCTCAGAGAGCAGGTGTGCGATTAGAGTTGCAAATACATTAGCGGTCTGTTGTGATTGCAGCATTGTTGGGCGCACATTTTTTCTGCACAGAGGCGGGTGGTGTAGAATTCTGTTGGGTTTGGATTTTTACGTAAAAATGGTATAGCAGTTATACAACTGTCCGCAGTGACGGACTTACGTGCGTCAAAAGTTGAGTATTGGCCAACGTTCGTTGGGTCCGTCGACACAAGGGTTGCCAATCTGGCTCCTCTCTATGCCAACACACACAGTCTGCTCAACTGTCAGTTTTATCCTTGAGCGTCACGTACGCAAAGTACTCATTCTGACGGGACTATATGTTTGTGTTGCTGCTGCTGCTGCTGTTGCTGTGTATGCACTGCATATGCGCCAATTTAAATATTAGGGGTATTCTCGAAATTTTGCAAAGCCCTTGCAAGTAGCACGGATTGTACGGATTGCATAATTTGCAAACACACAACATCAAAATATATGGGACACACATTTCCTAACGCTGCAAAATATGCAACGTCGAGATCCATGCATATCTTTTGCAAAAAAGAATAGCAAGACCCTGTGCTAGTTGTTTCGTTGTTGGAATTGCTATATATTTCTCTCATTCCTCCCAATTTGCTCACTTCATTTTTTTTTGCTGTGTCTTGTTATTGTATTTGATACATAGCTCCTTGCTTGCTTGCATAGGTATGCATGATATTATTTCGCAATGGGGGGGCTCTCGTACTCTTGCAAATTTGGAATAGTATTTTTGGATTCCATACAATCCATGCTACGGGCAGGACTTCGAGAATACCCCTATTGATAAAAGATTCAATTTCCATTTCGATTTTCAATTGAAAAATAGTTTCCATTGTGTTGCATTATTGCCATTATTTGTGCCTAATGACCAGTCTTAAAATAAAAATATTGAAGTACCTTACAACTATCTCAACGTTTAACAATAAATTGCACCTAAGCCCTAACAGCATATATATATATATATATGTATTTATTTACATATTTAAAAGTGTATTCGCTTATTTTGTTGCAATAACAAGCTACATATGTATGTCCCAGGCCACCTCAACGCCTCGTCTTTCGCAAAAGAACGAACGAACTAACCCACTAATTCAACCTCATCCATTCAGCTCACTCTCATTTATGGGATTTATTTAGAAGCGCAAATATTATTTTGTGGCAGCATATCAAAGAGGGGGACGTTTTTGTGTGGATGGGAAGGAATAGAGCAAATATTTAGCTAGAATAAAAATTTAGTAGCATGCAAATAATATCCTTGAGTTCAGCAATTCCCACTCAAACCCACCCACACAACAAATGGAGGTTTGAGTCAAGTGATCGGCACCAGGACACGCGACTAGTTAGTTGGTCGAGCCGATGATGGGTAACGAGAGATATTGAGTAAATAAACAAGGTCGTGCACAATTTAGCTGTGTTGATAGTTTGTTTGATTTGTGTATCTGTGTTGATTTAAGTATCAACTATGTATTTATTTAATAGTGTATTTATAAATACATACATACATACATATGTAGGTGTTTATTTATGCGAGTACATTTGCGCTTAGCTAAGTTTCTATACACTGCCTCGCAGCTACTTTGTTATTGTAAGCTAATGGCAGGGCGCGCATGGGTGGATGTTTAGTTCATTCCATATTCAATTGACAAAGTGATTTATTTATTTAAGGCTAAAGTGATTGAAAATTGATCCGCCGAGGGACATTCAACATAAACATACTCCGGCTTCGATGTGGCACAACCAGTGTTGCCGCCAGATCATTGAAGTGAGAAATCGTTAGTTTGGCTCTCAAAAATCGGCATGCAAAAAATGTCAACATACAAAAAATTTTAATACACAGAAACAGGAAGCTCTTCTAGGTTTCTTTTTTTCATTTTATTCAAGCTTCTGATTGCTATACGTAAAAAATAAAAGTTTAACTTTCTTAAGAATTTTTGAAAGTTCGCATTACTTTTAACAAAAATATTTTTAATTGGTATAAAATCACATTTTCATCTTAATTTTTTTCCACCTACAACTTAGCTTATGCATAATTCCCTTCGCTCAATAAAATGTGTAACAGTACACAACGTCACAACGCCAAAATTACGAATTTGACCG